CCCCAAAACCCCAAAACCCCAAAACCCCATTATTTAACTACAAGATTGAACGCTTAATAATATATTGTAACATACATGGCAGCAAGTACTCCAATCCACAAACTCTAGGATGTTTCCTTCTGAACTATCGCTAAGGACTACAATGAACCTTCTGAAAAAATAGAGTTTATATTAGGGAGAGCAATTAGAGTTGACTTTGTTGCAAACAAGGATACAAATATCTCTCCAATAAAGCTCGATGATATGGTTGATAAACATAATGCTTAGAGCTCAAGACTTCCCAGAGAGAACCATCTTAAGCAAAAGAAGAGATGATACTATAAACCTTGTTAGAGATAATCAAATACTGCTTCTTGTTTTAAAACTAAAGAATAATTATCTAGAACATAAGTTTTCATCAAATTTTTCCATCGAACAATAGTCCTACTCTTACTGTAGTCAGAAAGGATGGAATCCTCGAAGCTGGAGGGAGGAATGCAGAATCGGTCAAAAGAAATCATCCACAACGATTCTTTGGGCTATGAAATCTACTTCACAAGAGAGACTCAGACTTTAAAGTCTTGACTCACCTGAATACTCATATAATACTCTCTTGGTAAAACTTTAACAACATGTTTCTTCAAGAGTTCAGAATCTGAACTAAACATTACCAAAGGTGTTTGGTATCAACCTTTTAAGAGACAACTGTATTAAATCTGGGATCTGTTTGATATATTATCACATAGTAAACGAGCAATGGGATCCCAGGATATGGTAGAGAGAAAGATGCTAGCTTAACCAAAACCTTGGCTTATGTTTATTTAGAAAATAATATAAAAATAAATCGATGTTATAAGAAATTCAAGAAAAGAGTGATTATTTTAAAGCGACAAGACTAATTCAATCCTCCTAAAAGTCTGCTTGCTATTGATTCAATACCTTTGGTTCTCTTCTGAATATAAGAAGAGGCCTTACCTTTGCTAAGTCCTAATGACTTTATCAAGCATTAAAATGATGGGGTAGAATACTGTGCATCAGATCTACCTTATTTGTCCCAAAAATCAATAAAATCAGAAATGAAAAGGTCTTGGAAATCTGTTAGCAGGCACATATTCTTCTTGAATAAGAGGAAAACATTCTACTTTTAGACTAGACTCTTTTTATAATTGATCCTCAAATGGCAATTTTAGCTTTGTCAGCAAAATAAGAGATTTTCAGCTGAATTCTCAGCCTTAGCAAACTTCTTCCTGATACCATATGCCAGTAAGGAAAAGTAGCAAACAGTTTGTGTAAAATTGGAATAAACTATCTAGTTTTTTTGAAGATATCTTTATATTTAAGAATTAGAGCTTGATCTCTATGTTTTGCACCATTGGTTAATTCCTTAAGAAGGGGAGGAGCAGCTGGAGGTAATACAAAATGCTTTATATTATCCATAAGCACATTAGAAGATGTATGTTTCACAACCTTGTTTAACTTTTATTCTAGTCTATCTTACCTTGCTGGAGTGAGACATTTATAGCCCATTAATTGTGAGAATAAGAAACTTTAGAGAATTTAGTAATAACGATGTATAAAGTTATCAACTTTGCATATTCATAGTTACTAATTTGTATCTGCTTGCAGAGTTTCATAACTGTGGGATCTACCAGAATATAAATAGATGGATTTATGAGCTATCTCAAAAGTTTCTTAATGAATTATCACCTAAGTATATAGCAGCATGACTAGAAGGAGGCATGGAGATTGATAGTCAAGCTTTGAGTGACTTATATCGCAGTGTTTTAAAACATTCACAGTTTTGAGCAAACACTAAATCTCAAATTCTTATCTAAAATTTATGGGAATGAATGTTTTAACATTTACAAAGAAGGTTTATCTTCAGTTATGCAAAAAATTCAAAAGCAATAGTAGTTTTTTGTCTGAATTTTGGTTTTTAAAGTTAACAGTATGCCTAAGGAAATCTCAAAGCCTGTCCTAAAGAAATCAAGAAAATAGGTCGAACTAATTCAGTTATTAAACTAATAAGAAACGATTCTAAAAGTTCTCTGTGAATTTTACCAATAAGCCAATACCCATGATGCATACTTTGATTTCAACTCCTGATAATAATTATAAATTAATAGTCATATTAAGCTCTTTAGTAACCTTTTTTGTAATAAATTGGCTATCCTACCATTGTAAATAAGTTCATAGAGCTTGGATTAGTTAAAGTTGGCTAAGTTTCTAACCCTAAAATAATCTTAATAGGCGACCTTAATACTCACAATATTAACAATTAAATCAGAAAAATTATTAATTTCGACCTGTGAATTTACTGAAAATTAACCAAGCCCTCTGATGGAGATAATAGAGTTGAGGCTTTGCAAAGACATCCAGCCTAGTTATTAATCAACTTTAGCGACACATCAATTTGCAACTGATTATTAATCTACAAATAGTATCATATACCTAAATATTGCAGTAAAGAATGGAGATGACTCTCATTGCTAGAATTAACAGAACCCAAAGATCATAATCCAGCATTCAGTCTAGCATCCATGCTACTCCACTACAATTAAGCTAATGTTTACGATTGCTTCTAGAGATGAGGCCTAATGCTCAGTCAGGCCAGTTATTGGTGCCAAATGGCATTTAATAATGAAGAAAAAAGAAGGTCTTTCCAAGAGTTTGCTATTAATATTCTTGTAGGCTATCGCAGTAATTTAGTAATTATGTTACCAAGACTGGTGACCAAGTATTGTGACTAAACTTCAAAAAGAGGCTAAAATCCTTAAAATTGTCCACTTTTCATGCTACTAAATGTTTTATTTGGTTAGTCATGACTCCCTTCTTTGCCAAGCGAGATTAATCATCTTAAATACATTTGTTCAGCAATTTCATAAGGACTTAGTAGGCTAGATTCCATGTTTGAATATTCAGATTAAATTCAATGTGTCTTAATTTACAGGGGTTTTGGGGTTTTGGGGTTTTGGGGTTTTGGGGTTTTGGG